GTTCGAGTTTGATTCTTCGACATGGATGCTCATTCATCTTCTTCCAAGACTTGTAAAGCAAGCTACCATGGTTATGGGTAGCTAATTTCCTCTGTATCAAAGATAGAGGTAGTCTACCATTAGCTTGTATGTATTTATTTTGATTGGCCTTGTATATGAACAAGTGATGATTAATATATGATGAATATTTTTGTTCTTAATGATCCATTCTTGTTTTGTAAAACTCTAGACATAGATTTTGTGAAACTTAACCTAAAATATTCATCTATCGGTTTATAGATTGGAGAAATCGGTCTATGGTCGATAGCTGCTTTGTATTGAACTTAAAGCTTACTATATTGATTGTTATATGGAGAAATCGTGTAGCGATGAATACGATATATCTCACGACGCCGCTCTAGACATAGACGGTGTTGAGAGACTGCGCGACAATATTAATTAGATCCGACTTTACTTGCAAGATTGAAAGAATACATATAAGTTAGGGTAGATGAAAACTACTTTTGATATACTTTGTTAATCAAACTCTTTAGAATTTATAAGCTTTTCTACTAAAAATGTGATAATTTTATGAACAAAACTTTGAAAACCCTTTCTCTTGAAACAATAAACTGTTGAACGGCAAGCATCAAAATATTTGCAATCCCTGTGGAGATGATAACAAAAAACCCCTCTTTAACTAATAATCGAACAATATTTAGCTCATCTGTAAGAGTGTTGCATTAAAAGATATGTTGTGTGATAATATTGCAGAGTTTTTCTAAAGTCACTTCCAAATAATTTTTTGAATAATTGATACAAAAGATGGTTGTCTAGTTGTAGATAGGGAAAGAGATAGAGATGTTTTTCCATTCACACAATTTTTTTTATAAGCAAAATTGACATTCAACATGGTATTAGGGGTACCATAGCCCAATTACAACCAACCAAAACTCTCAAAGAAAGGTGACTCTAAATAAAGAGTCAAGGGTATTTACATCAGTCGTAATAACTACAATATATTTTACGTATCAGTTTCATTACCAACCACCACCAAGCTAAATCAACTATTCTATGCATAATGTTTTCGGGATCACAAATAACATCATTAAACAAAACTTGATTTCTTTCCCACCAAATACACGTAAACACCACCAACCACATTCCCGCCGCACCTTCACAAAAGTTCTACCTTTCAATTGCGAACACCAAGCTAATAAATGATAATCACACCGGACTTCATTAATCTCTTCCAGCTCAAACCAAATCATAACCTTCCTTCACACAAGCCTTTTTTTTAGCACAAGATAAAAAAAGATGAGAACAATCTTCATGAGCACGAAAACAGAATACGCACACCAACTCATGAGGAATAGTTATAATCCCACGTCTGGCAAGATTACTGTGAGTATGAAGCCTATTAATAAGCAACCTCTAACCCATGATTTTCAACTTTGATGGCGTATAGTTCTTCCAAACCATTGTGATGGCAGAAACGTAATCCTCACCTAAGCTCACATGAGACCTAGCAGCCAACAACTTATGATAGAGAGACTTAACTGTGAACCACTTCGAAGCCTCAAATGGCCAACACACGGTGTCAAGGCCCTCTACCAAAGGTGCCACTTCCTGCAAAAGAATAGTTAAATTTTGAAACTCCTCCTCCAAAGTTGAGTAATTCTCCAAGCCTAGAGGCCCTAGTTGCCATTGCGAAAAGCCACCCACCCAGTAACCCATTTCATAAATAACAACATATTTTCTAGGAGAATTATCATAGAGGTATGGATAGAACATCTTCAACGAGGATTTTCCACACCAACAACCGTGTCAGGAAGGAGTCAAAGTTCCATCTCTAAGTTTATAGGAAAGAAACTCCACAAACGCCTTACCTTGAGAGAACTCCCCATTCAAGATGATATCCTTCTATCACAGAGAAGCCTGCAGACAGTTACTAACAGACACTTTACAACCAATATTTCTAGCATAATCTCACAAATTGATTTGTTTCTCTAACTTTTTAAAATAGAGTTTTAATAAGGCATAAAGGTCTGGATACAACATCTTCAACGAGGACTGCTCACACCAACAACCGTACTAGAAAGGAGTCAAAGCTCCATCTCCAAGTTTATAGGAAAGAAACTCCACAAACGTCTTTCCTTGAAAGAACTCCCCATTCAAGATGATATCCTTCTACCACAAAGAAGCCTGCAGACAGTTACTAACAGATATTTTGCAACCAATATTTCTAGCATAATCTCACAAATTGATTTGTTTCTCTAACTTTTTAAAATGGATTTTTAATAAGGCATGTCTTCAATTCACGTTAAAAAGTGTTATGAGTAACAAAGTTGTAGTTAGGGATGTATATGGAAGGTTAATTCTCGTAATCTATTTAATAAGGCATGTCTTCAATTCATAGTCATACATAATCTATTTGTTGTAATTGATTATTAAAATTAATTATCATAACTAAATTCCATTTTTTTAAAAATAATTATGATTCAGTTATATTAATGATCAATTTTATAATTTATTTTAATTTATTTTTTTAATTTTTAGTTTTTAATTTCAAGGAAAAAATATTAAAAAAATCATATATTTTATTTTTTTTGAAAAATAAAATTATTTTTAAATATTTATTTTTTATTGGCTTAATTGCAATTTTGGTCTCTCTGTTTTATTTTTTTTTACTTTTGGTCCTCTATTTTAAAATACTGAATTTTTGTCCTCCTATTTTTATTTTTTTTACTTATGATTCCCCTATTTTAAAATTCAAAAATTTTGGTCCGCTTATTTTTATTTTTTTAGATTTTTGGTCCCATTTCTCAATTAGAAAGGGGACTAAAATTCAAAACAAACATAAAATAGGGGGACCAAAAGTTAAAAATAAAAATAGAGGAAGCAAAATTTTGAATTTTAAAATAGGAGGACCAAAAGTTAAAAATGAAAATAGAAGAACCAAAATTTTGAATTTTAAAATAGGGGGACCAAAAATAAAAAGAATTGAAAGCATGGAGACCAAAATTTTGGATTTTAAAATAGAGGGATCAAAACTAAAAAAAAAGGAAAATATGAGGATCAAAATTGTAATTAATTAAACCTTTTTTATTTTTAGAAAAGAAATTATAATTTTTTTTTTAATCTTAAAAATATCTCTTTTTTTATTTTTTAAAATAATTTAAAATATTTTTGTGATTAAAAAAATAGAATAATTTAAATTTTATTTTGGATATGAATATTCAGAATTCAAATTTGATTAAAACTATATTAATAATATATTGAAAATATGAATTTGGTTAAAATATACTAATAATTAATCAATTTTCAATAACAAATTAAAATATAAATATGAATAAATCAAATAATCGATTAATTTGATGATCCCTAAGTGTGAGGTGTCAATGTTTAGTCGTATTATATTCCTTTAACTTCTAATAATTAATTAATATGGAGAGTACTTTTTAAATAAAACACAATTTTAATTAATAATATACTTGATTTGTTCTAAAATATAAATAAAAGATACTTTTTTAAATTACACACTATTTTATAATTAATTTTTTTAAAAATAAAATTAGCTGTATATAATGTTGAATTAACCCGTTATTTAATCCTGTATGATTTGAGATCGTCTTGTGTATTTATTTTGTTTTTTTTATTAATCAAAGTATTAGTATTGATTCAAACAAAATAAAAAAATTAACCCATTTTTTTCATAATCAATAATATATTAAAATTATTTTTTAAAGATAAAATTAGCTGTATATAATATTGAATTAATTCGATATTTAATCCTGTATAATTTGAGATCGTCTTGTGTATCTATTTTGTTTTTTATTTATTTATTAATCATAGTATTTAGTATTGATTCAAACAAAATAGAAAATTAATCCATTTTTTTCATAATCAATAACATATTATAATTATTTTTAAATATTAAAATAAAAAAATTAATTAAAAATAAAAAAATTGAAATAATTATGCTTTAAGTGTATTTTCATTCTTTTATATATATGGCGATGGAGGAAGTATTTATTAAGAGAATGATGCAAAAGTTTTATTTTTTTTCTTCATTAAATAATTTTTTATTCCAAATTCTTAAACAATTGTCTCGGATCTTTATTATTAAACAAGTTTGAGAAATTAATATATCAATTCATTTCTTATTTTCTTAGAAAATATACATACATTTAGTATATGGTAAAACCTTGGAGCATTTTTATATTGAATCAGAGGCAGTACCATGCCACTGTGAGAGGGGAGAGTTGTCTCCGACTAAAATCAGCATCTGAACCATAATGATAAGGTTCTTGAGTTGCGCCGCTCTTGTCTACCACCATTTTTGTACGTACCATCAACACTGAAGAGTCAACCTGCCTACTAGCTAGCTAGCTACCTACTAGCTACTACTTGCCTCGTTACTTCTGTGAAGCAGACAAAACCTAAATAAACGGTACTCCTGTAAAGGGATCTCTCTAGACACAAAAAAGCTGCACCTCAAACCTGAATCATCACTGTCGTGTTTCAGACAAGAGAACCTCACTCATAGCTCAAATATTTTATAGCATTAAAAAACGTTCATCACACAAAAAAATGTTGGAGAAAAAGTTGTCATGTTGCTTTCTCATTTCACATATTACTCTTTTACTAGCATATAACTATTCTACATTTCTAAAATTCTAGTTAAATTAGCTCAATATATAGTTGGGCAGATACTAATTCAAGCTTATAGGACTAATACAAATTAAGAACGTGCTAATTGAAATCAAACATTTAATTATTAATTAAGTTCACAACTCACAAGATAAACTCTCTCACACCATAAGTTACAACAAACAATGCAACTTATTTGTTCTTTTTCCTTCCTATTATTATCCTATAACTATCTTTATTGCACCTTCTTCTCTTACACACAAACATAAATTAATCAAATTCAAACTAGTCCTAATAACTCCTCATTAAGATAAATATAACAATATCAAAAACCTAGTCAACAATAACCATAAGATAAACCTCTCAAATCAACCATGGACTAGTCCATAAGATAAAGCCATGAGAAGGATCGCAGCTTCCTTCTCATCCTGAGGAAAAACTTGTTGAACAGACAAATTCTGGCTCAAGCTTAATCTCAAATCCTCGAAAGTGATGAACTTGTTTCGACTAATTTGAGACGGTTTTGATGCTTCAACCTTGCGTTTCTTTTTCATGTGTGGTGAACGTTCAAACTCAATTTTGGACTTATTCTCTTTTTTCTTCTGCAACTTTTTTCTCTTCGCAGAAGATGTCTCGTGATCAGCAATTGTTGTTCCGTTTTCAGACGCTGCAGCCAATGCCATAGCACGCCTCGCCTTCCTTTGTCTAATCCCACACGCGTTGCAAAGTGACTGTTGAATATTTCAAAATCATAGTTAGTTATAACAAGCTAAAAAAATTCATGCAGTGATTTGTCGAAAATTACCATAAATCCAAACATAGCACTTAAGTTTGAAGCTTTTAAAAAATAAAAATTATACATACCTTGGGGCCTCTTGGTCCACTTCTCCAGAGAGGGGTCTTAGTGGTGTTGCAATCAGAACAAACCCTAATAGTAGGGCTATTATTATAGCTGAGATGAGTCGAGTAATTGTTGTTGCTGTTGTTGCTGCTGCTGTTATCGGTTCCTTGTTGTTGATCTTCAAACTTAATCGGCTTAATATCGCCGGTTTGAGGATCAGAAACCATCATCTTCTTCATTATTCTCATCTTTGATGACATCCACTTCATTGAAGTACCATCCTCCCGATCATCATGAGTTTCATCGGTGCTAGTTTCTTCTTTCTTCCAACGAATCGTTAGCTTGTGTTTACTTCGGCCGCTCCCGTGGTTCTCCGGAGTTGAAGAATTCCATGATCCACTTGATGGAATAATCTTCTCAACCTAATAAAAAACCACATCATCAAATTAAGATATCAAAATAAAAAACATAGTAAGGACTAACATATGCTACTACAAATATGTTTTACCTCTTCATGATCATGCTTTGCTTCGAAGTAATAAGACGGTTCTTCTCGAACTTGATCTGGCGGGTTAGGATAAGAGGAAGATGGAGAAGAAAATGAAGAAGAAGAAGAAGAAAGATGATTATGGTTTTGATCTTGGTTAAGATCTAGAGACATAAGGTGATAAGGTGGTGGTAACATGATGCATACACAAAAGAGGGGTGAGAGAGGGAGATCAGATATGAAACTGAAACGGTATTGTTTGATCTTTTTGTCCACTAATATATAAGAGATCAAGAGAGGGAGAGAATGGGATCACAAGATATATGTGGCAACATGTATACTCATCATCATATATAATCAAATATATTTCTCTAAATGGTTTAGAAATTTTCCCATTCATAAAAAAATATACCTTAAAATTATGTCCTATCATTATTAATTTGATGTTTGGTCATAAAAATGTTACATAAAAATTAAACTATTTAATTACAAAAGTTAAATAAATTCAAAGTGAGGGAGTAAAAAGAAAAAGATTTGATCAACAACCAGAAAATTTAGATACAATGTGATTTTACAGAAAACTATATATTTGTATATTGAAAAATCACACTAAAGAAATTGTATCTAAGTTTTTTCGTACATCAAACCACTTATAAAGATTTAAAAAATTCAGTCCAAAATAGTAAAAGTATAAAATGAAAATTAATATTAAAGTTATTAAAATTTTATTAAATTAATCTAATTTATATGTTGTAGTGTAGACAGTAATGAATTAAAAAATACGGTAGAAAAAAAAATAATTTTATTAAATTTAAAAAATGAAAATGAATATAAAGGGTTGATCTAGGATTTAATATTTGGATGTAATATATTTTTCTATATTTATGTATTAATATAAATAAATTGTTAACATTTATAAATCAACAAATTTAAAAATAAAAAAAAACAATATTTATTTTAAAATAAATTTTAACACAATTTTTAAATAAAAAGAATAGTTGATAATATCAATTTAACCTCTAAAAAGTGGTTTGCTTTAGTGAACTCAAAATCGTTTTTTACTTATCCACTGTGGTATGGCAGAAAGAAGAGATGGTACAATTTTCCTCTCTCTTCTCTTTTTTGTTATAGTGAATTATAGTGAAAGTGCTTAAAGGTAAAGAAAAAAATAAATAATACAAATATAGGGACAAAGTCTAAAAATATAAAAGTTTCTACATGATTAACAACTGAATTTGAATTTCCTCCGTGAGGATCTTCTATACTTTTCCAAAAAAATTGTTGTTTTGTCTTATTATTAGACGCATCTCTAGCAACTCAAATATCCAAGTTTTTTTTATTATATGCACACACAAAATTTATATGCATAGGAAAAAAAAAAGAAATTTGAAATTTCCAACAAGAGCTGTAAGAAAAAAGTAACTAGTGGAGTATGACATTCACGTGAGTTGATATGAGAGGCAAAGAAGACAAAGAACAAGGACAAAAATATATGAATTGTGTGGAATGCTACTTCACTGACCCCATACGTATGATAAAACCTTATCCACAGAACACAAATGTTTTTACCGCAAAAACATTTCACTTTTCATTTTTTGCCTTTAGGGTTTGGTATAGTTGCATGGACATGCAAATAAAAATCATTGAATGCTTGTGCAGACAAATGGACAGATCCCGACGGAATAATTCTGGGGTGTGTGGACAGACTCAATTAATTTTCAAGTTTAGTTTGGTCTCTATTTGATGCATAGGACCATGATGCAGTCTCCATCTTCATAAGTGTAATGGTAACAAACAAGAAATTGTGTATGGCATAATGGCAGTGATTTTTCAGATACATGTGATATAGTTTTCATTCACTGATTTTTTTTATATAGAGTTACATCAATCATCAAGGTTATACACAAATGGAAATAAGTACATTATGTACTCATTTAGTTAGAGAATAAGTGTATATGCACAAATGTCAGGGGCTAAGTAATTCGTTTTTGGGATTTGCACAACTGATAGATACTTTCTTATACAAATGGAGTTTTATTTGGTAAAGACCTTTCTCTTCAAATGTGGATAACAATGATGAACATAATGACAAACTGTAAACAGTATCTAGCTCAAGTCAATGAGATGCTAAATATGAGGTTTAGATTTAGAAAATTGCACACTTTTAATACATGTCTTTTAAACCATGTGTATCGGCTAGTTTTACGTGACCTAAAATTATATGGATTGAGCATCAATGTGGACTAAAAGAGATTTGCACATAATTTTTATGATAAAATGTTAGTGATTTTGTAGAAAACTCTAGAATAGAAAGATGTTAGTATTGCATATTTTCGAATCATTCAAAATATTAATTGAGTGTTGACTAGTGTGTATAGTGTGGAAAGACACAAGACTTCTTTGTTTAAAAAAAAATTTGCGTCAAGGTTCAATCTTAAGTCTTTACCTTTTTAATTTAATTTTGTCACGCACTTGTGCTTAGTTTGATGTAGTTTAAGTTGGTTTGAATTTTTTTCCGTGTTGTCTTTTGGGGTGTTATTTTGTATCTAGGGCTAAAGTATCCCTAGTATTATTTTCATTAATACACCTTGCTTAAAAATAAAATTAATTTTAGATGTACTCACGAAATACATTTAAAAAGCAGCACTGTAATGCATGTGTTTTATAAATGATATAGTTTTATTTTGAGAGTTAAAAGAGACTTTAAATGAGAAATTTAAGACGTAAAAATGAGCTTCTATGAGATAAAGTATATGAAATATAAATTTGAAAAAAAATAATCTTTTTAACTTAATTTAGAGGTGGAAGTTTGAGACAATATTATCCCACCTACACGATTTCAATATATTTGGTTTGTAATATAAAACCATAAATAAATAAATAAAAGAGGATGTAAGGTGAATTTTAATGAGGTTTTTTCTTTAATTCATAATAATTTATTAGTAAATATTTATTTTTCCTGTTTAGTGTCTTGTAATACTAAAGTTTATGTATTATCCGTTTATTGAGAATAAAATAAGTTTATTGTTTAAAAAATGAGATTAATTATTATGTACTAACAATTAATTTATTAATATTATCCGTTTGTATTATTTTATTGATGGTTAAAATGAAAGTCAAATTTTTTTCAACATTCAATATTTATAATTAATTGACTGTGTAAAATTATTTTATATTATCAAATGTATTTCAATTAAAATTTTAAAAAATAGTCAAACTTAAATTGTTATTTAAAGAATGTAGTTAATCAATGAAAATTAATTATGTATGTAGGTAACAAACAAAAATCAATAATATATTTATTAAAAATATTATACTAGTATCTTTGATGATATTTTATCTTTCTTATAGTTTCTATCTAGGAGTATATTTTAAAATGTAACAGCAATAATTGATGTAAATTTGTCCGTAGTAGAAGCAACAAAATGCAGGATTTTCTAGAGTTTATATTTTAGTCTAAAATTATTTTCTTTATTGAGGGTTAAATTAAATTGAATAACAAAAATAAAAAGAAAGGAACTTATAGACTATAGACCTATCTCTGGTAGCACTCTTGCCCCCTGGGAAGATAACAATTCCACTTTTGAAGCTTATCGATAGAAAAATACAATAGATCAAGATATGCACCAAAAATAAAATAATATATTGGTTTTCAAATTTTAGACTATTTTTTGGTAAAAATACTATGATAGATAAATTAATTTATAATATATGACTGATAATTCAACGGATGGCTTATAACTGATGAATTCTATTAATTTAGTTTGTAATATTTAATAAATTTAATGGTTAAATTAGTTTATAAAAATAAAATATTACTAAAAAATTAAAATTAACAAAAAATAGTTAATGATTGAAAAAAATTATTGACAGATTTTTTTTTTTAAATTCTTTAGTCCATAACATTTTCTTAAACTTTTTCCTTTAATTTATTGTAACTGCTAAAAGAATTATAAATCCATCATTGAGAATAATAGAGGTATGTAATGAGTAGGTTGCTAAGAGTTTGTCTGAGGTAGTTAGGAGTTAGTTACAATTGAGAAATGTTAAACAAATAATTTAGTGAATCATAATAAGAGGTTATTTGAATATGTAATTAAAAAGATACTATTATTTTCAATTATTTTCAAGAACAGACATGGGTGACAATTGGTAGGATATTATAATAATTCTTCTCATATTTGCTGTTTAGAAAAAATTTTGTATCCAAATTTATACTCGCGTGAGCATCAATTTTTATATATGTATTTTTATCTTATAGTATCTAAATACCTTTATCTATACTTGTTATAAGCCGTTGAAGCAAAAATAAATCTATCAATTGAAAAATATCATATTATTATAAATTTTTAATATAATTAATAAAAATTTAGAAATTTTACTATTGAATTATGAAATATACGAATACTTATATTAAAATGTGTAGTAGTTTAATTGTGATGTATTTAGTAGTTTAATTGTGATGTATTTTTTCATCTGTCTATTGAGTATGATTATAAATGTCATCCTTAACTTCGAAGAAACGTCTGCTACTATAAATAACACATCTAACGTCGACTGCAAAATGTATTTAACCTCAGCTACAAAAGCGAGGTAACAAAGGGCGACATGAAAAACAATTATCCGCCACCTAGGTGTTTTTAAAAGAAGGGTTAGAAATTAAAAGGTCATGGGTTCGATCCTCATTATCAAAAATTTTATTATTTTCAGAACTAAATGGCGCGCCCAATATTGGCACTCAGTGTTTTCTAGAACCGAGATAATATATCAATGTTATTACCTCGGTTTTATGTAAACACCTAGAGGATAAGTATTTTTGTACTGTCGTTTGCACCTGTATTACAAAACCATTTACAGAACCATATTCATGAATATAAAACTATATTTTGCACATTCTTGAAACAGAAACATTGTACATTTTGTCAATTTCTCAATATGAAACATTGTACCACAAATATTCATTGATTAAACCAAATTCAAACCCAAAATGGCACATACTTTATAATTTTACATCAAAAACTAAAACAAAGGAGTATGAAACAAAAACAATAACCAAAATGGAAAGTTTTGTAGGTTTTCCAATAGGATTTGTCATTGGTCCTTAAGTACCTATAGTTTGAACAATATTTGAAACTAATTAGGTCAATCAACAATAACTTTAAATATATAGTACAATGATTAAAAAGGAGTAAAATGAT